GACCAATTTCTTTTTTGAGAAAGGGAAGACTCATTCTTCCCGTTTCGAAATAATTGGCCGAGTTCAAATTCATTAGTCGAAAATTCATCGAAATGGAAGAAATGGGAAAGAAGGAATATGGATAACGAGAGATAATATAATAATCGGACGAGATGGTAATAAATCGACACAGGTATACTTTTGCTATTTTTATTACGTATCATGTACAAAAAGAAGCACACAGAATACGTGATATAGTATATTTTTTTCCGTTTTATTTGAGGTTGATAAACTCTGAGATAACTTCAAAATTTTCACCTCGAACGTGATACGACAAAATCAGTCATTCCGTTGTCGCAACCGTACCAAAACCTTGACAACGTGACTTGATTCATAAAAAAAAAAAATCACAGTAAAAAATGAATGGTACCTGTTTTCTATTGCGATCAACGTGATCAAATACTGAAGTACATCGTACTCACGTTCGTCCATTTAAGAATGATGATATGATGGGATACGAATAGATCGATAATATTTATCGATAAGCATCGACATTCTTTTCCACGTAGTTCTTTCACGTTGCATCACGTTGCACTTATCTAGGGAGGAAAATACATGCCGATGCAACGTAAACGTGGAACTCGCGTGGAAATAGGGGGGGGGGGGGGGGCATTCGATTAAAATTATCTGAAATTGAAAAAATAGCGATGACTTTCTCCAATAAAATTCCTCGTCTATGATTTCTCCATTTTGATTTCGCGTCGTTTTAAAGAAAAAAATGTTTTCTCGATAATAAGCTGGATGCGTTAAATCGATTAATTCTCTGCGGATTATTTCGGTGCGATTTTTTTAATTCTCTTCTCTATGACGATTTCAGGATAAAATCAGGTTTCACTGATTGGAAAGCGATTTGATTAAAAAATTCAATGAACGAAATTGGAATCATCGTGCTTCTTTCGTCGCAACTTTCAGTATCCAGTAGCCGGATGGACGTTTATAATGAAGAGACGGCATCCCGTTCCTCGTCGATCAAGATTTCTTCGATCCGTTTATCTTCATTATCTTATCGTGAGAGATTTTTCTTCGATAAATTTCAGATATGTTTCCCTGTAAAAATAATTTAAAACTTGATATATCCGATAACTTTACTGTATTACAACTTATCGTTATATAATTCCTTATATAATTCACCTTTTTTTTTTTCTATATAAAAATTCAATATCACGCTTCTGTCGATGATTCTCGTTAGATTTCACGAGTCTGGTCCCCGAATCCTTTGAAAGAAATCATTTGAACTCCTTGCTCCTTGGTGTTAACAGGAATGCGACACTGTGTCCAAAGAAAATCGCATCGTCGAGCGTTAATTACGTATACAAAAACACACACACGCACACACGCATATTTTGCTCTTGGAAAATATTTATGGGGAAACTAACTGCAAATCGTACGACAAGGAGAACAGGGGGGTGGTGTTGGCGGTGGACACGGCATACAGGGGACTATCTTCTTGGTACAAACGAAGGTTACGCTTGGAGGCGGTGGTGGACAGGGGGGTGGGGGTGGTGCACACGCAACGACGACCTTTGGCGGGCAAGGAATGGCGCAACAGGGTGGACAAGGCGTACAAGGCCGTAGGTAAACCTAATTTCGAGATAAGTTACCAAGTTATTAATCCTGTGCTACGTTAACGAAAGGGTTAATAATTTGCGTTCCCCTCGGCAAAGAGGTGTAACAGGTTTGCTAAGTTTTTCAATGAAATTAAATAAATAATCCACTCGTATTATACTTTTCGAAACGAATACTATATATATATATTTGAAACTCACTGTTGTTTTAGTTGGTTGAGGGGGGCAACGAGGGGGGCAGGCTGGTCTGCATACGATAGTGGGTGGTGGACAGGGTGGTGGACAGGGTGGAGGACAGGATGATGGAGGACAGGATGG